TCTCTGAATCTAATTCTGGTTGCTGAGACAGTTGTTTATTCTTGTATGTGGAGAGAGGTGTAGGTGGATGTGGGTACATTGATCTGCAGCTTCTTAAAATGTTTTTCATATTGCAAAGTTAAAAAAGAACAAATCTGTAAGACAGTTCCAAAGATATGTAGAAAAAGTAAATGCCTGATGAGATAATGTGTGATTTCCCTAGTCTGTACACTAGGAAAATAACACAATGTTTGTTTTTTTATAGATGTAGAAATATTTTCTTTTTTATCTGGTAGAGCTTTGGGGGATCCATTTATTCCATGTTTGAAGTCTCTTAAGTCTACATGTCTGTAGGGTTTGAGATGAGTCTAGATTCCCTTCAGAAATATTTTATATATTCTGTGGTAGGTATTCAGCAGGGAATTGCTCAGACCAGTCTTTTCCATTAGGTATTTCTCAAGAAGCTTCAGGTTTTACAACCCATAGCTGGAAATGATCTTAGGATGCATATGTCTATACTGCATTTAAAAAAACTTACCCACTACCATGGAATGTAGCCTTGAAATTAAAGGGAAAGTGTTTGTATTACAAGAATTTAGCTGCTTCTAAGACTGACACCATGTCTTCCTTGCTCCATTTCATGTATATGTAGAATTTTGGTGTCATTATCTAGAATATGCATTGAGGGACTGACACTTAAAAGGTGATAATGAAGTGCACCATTAGAACAGCACCGTACACCTTTGTGTGTCATTTTACATGCTGGTGGATTGGGTGATAACTCTGTTTTTGCAAGAGACTGCCCTTTTAGTCCCAAGTGTAGCTTAGTCCACTTGGTTCTACCAAAACAGTGTCTGGTGGAACAAGTCCCATTGCTCAGCCTCTGGGTTGGCTGGAGGTGTCTGCTTCCCATTCCTGAAGTTTTGTGCTGCCTTTGTGTAGAACTTCTGTTTGACCCTTCAAACACATTTCCAGCCCACTGGAGACACACTTTGATTTGAAGCAGTGCTTATTCAAAAAGAAAATTCTGGTAGCAAACACATGAAGAGCTCTGCATGGGAAAAGGCTTTTAGATCAATGTTAGTCCCTTGGGAATCTCTGACTCTTTGCACTGCCGGTGGTGCCAATACTCTGATTTTTATTAAGAAAAACCTAAGGGCTGTTTCCTTTCTCCCCCCAGATACACTTTATATCTGAAGAACAATGAAAAGTGAAACTTCCTATCATGAAAAACAAACACAGAAACAAGATGAAAAAAACATAAAATTTGGAGAAGTGGGTTTTTTAGTATAATGGCAGACTTTGAAAGAGGTTACAAGATATTTGTGTAAATTTTGTGCACCTTGAAATACCTTTTGTTAGCAATATATAGATCTATGGGTAAGAAGACAGCATGTAATTTTGAAGGTGCATAAGGATATACAATACAATTGTAACTGATAGTTGTTAAGTAGTTGTCAAACTATCCAGTTAACACCAGAGTTACAGAGTAACACCAGGCGTTGTGCAGCCTGGTCTAGCCTGAGGTGTCTGTCCCTGCTCGTAGTAGGAGGTCAGAACCTGATGATCTTTAAGGTCCCTTCCAGCCTTAACCATGAATTATTTTACTCTGTCATCAGCTGCTGCTCAGGTCCTTATCCTTTTTGTCCTGAACTGCTCTTGAACATCCTTACATATTCTCAGGTGTTTCGTAGGTTCCCCTAACACTTCTAGATGGAGGGATTATTTCTGTGATGCTATTTTACTCTACTGGCAAGATGCAATCCACTCATTCCATGAATCAGTGCTGAAATATTTAAGGGATATTCTCTGTAAAGAAATTAGGTAGTGGGTGCTTGTAGCAGGAGAAGAGCCAGGGAATCATAAGCTAGGCATGTGCTGCTTCAGAATCACTGCCAGGAGGTAATGAGTCCTGCAGAAAAAAATGCATCCCGAGCAACTTGATTGCTACAAGTTAACTTTTCAACTTCATTAAGAAGCTGGAAATCACAATGAACTTGCCTTAGGGTAAAATCCATTAAACAAATCTTTGGTCTTGCTTCATGAAACGGGAAATGCCTAATGGAATTTTTGGCAGGGTATAAAACGAGGAGGCAAATGGAAAGGGGCAAAGTTTTTCCTTCGTGGATGAGGAATGAGAACATGTTGCCTGGGAGTGCAACATAATGACAAGAAATGTTGAGAAAACAGTTTCCCCCATTCCTAAATTTTGAGAGTGCTTCAAAAGCTGCCTAACAAAGGGGTTGCTGACAAAGTTGAATGGTGAATCTAAGTTCTGAGCCAATAGTTTCTGTGCATTGTAGCTAACATGTCACTAAGTTGTAGAAAGGAAAAGGAGAAAGCTATCAAAGTAAACATCCTTCAGTGCATGGCAAGATGACAGATTCTTTCTAACAAGATTTTCTGCTCTCCTGGAGGAAGACCATTTGTTAATAAACCATTTGAAAATCCATTTTTAAGGGATTTAATAAAATATACACAGGCTCCTTCCACTGCAGAAACTATTATTCCCTTGGGTAGAAAAAGTGGCTGACTGTGGGCATTAATGGTTGCTTCCTGTGATTCCTGGCATTATATCTTGCTCCCATTTGCACTTTTTCAAACAAGAAGTGAAATAATTTTTTATGAGAATCCTGCACTTGATTCCTGGCTCTTATGAGACATGTGTGTTCTATATTTTATTTATTTGTATTCAGTCATGTCCATGATTCTTGTTGTTTTAATGTCTATGTCTATAGCTTGAGTGTTGTGTTTGTGCATTCTTTCTTGGGCACCAGAAAGTTTCCATATCCAGCAAACTCCATCAAATGAAAAAGGTGATAGTTTTTGTGTGAATTAAATGAATTGTTCCATTCTTGCCAAAAATTTTCATGAATAATTCACCCGTTTCCATAAAAAACTCTGTATTTTCTGTTGTGATGGTTGCTGTCAATTAAACAAGAAACCTGAACCCATTATGGTCTAACAGATACTTGCCTGGAGGGGCTGGGTAACCAACAAAAGAGAAAAGATGTTTCTTAAGAATTTGGAGGAAGGTTTTCTACTGCCATCTTTCCAACTGTGAATGTGTTTTACTTCTTTCAAACATGAGAAAAATAGAGTGGAATTGAGGGATTAAGTAACTTCTGCAAGAAATCTTGCCCTTTTTGAGACTGTCAACACACTTTGGTTCTTCTAAAGCAACAGTTTTTCTACTGAGGAAACTTCATAAAGGGTGTGTTTGTGAAAAATAGTAGCTGAGATTATAGTAGGAGGAAGTCAAGAGCAAGTGACCCTTAGAAGTCAAAGCATGGATAATTTTATGTATGTAAATGTCAAATTTAGTTATGGCCAAATACATCCTGTCTGTTACCTTCCTGGCCTCCTGTTGTCCTGCATGGTGTAGAGCAGGCAGTGCTAGAGGTGAATTTAGCTGCTAAGTGAATGCCCAGCCAGACATCAGTTTTGTAGAAGGAAGAATGAAATCTGGAAAGCTAATAATATTACAGTTGCTGGCAGCTCTAACAGATCCCAAATGGATGTACTTGGAGGCATAATTTGTTTGAGTCTTTTCTTTACCAGAATTGTCTCCATATCATATCCAAGAACTGAAGACACGGTGGCAGGCTGGGAATGGCAAGATGGACAGTCATTGCTTGGTCATAATATTATGACCTTTCATATAAAAAGAGATTACAGTCAGGATGCTGCCAGGAAATGACAGAGCTGGTAGAAGCAGGGACAAACAGTAGGACAGACACATTTAGAAGAGATTATTTATTTGACAGTAACATCTGTATATGTAGGAAACTTCCTACTATTCATCACTTGGTCTCTTTGTGCTTGCTTGAGAGGGGTGTCACATCAGTAGCAAGCAAGTGTATTCCCCAAGTAGAGGAACCACATGTACCTCAAAAGGAACCAAACCAAATATGTCAGAGAATAAGCTCAGATCTTTAGTGCTGAGAAGGTAAAATATACAAAGGTTCTTATAAACACTTTGCTAGATTTGCAGGTTTTCTTTCTGTAAAGTCAAATGTGACAAAAACGAGTTGCCATTAATAACACAATAACACTTAAACTGTGTATTTGGACATGGAATGGATCAATTTTGTAGCAATCAAACCATTCAGGATCCTGAGATCCTGTCTGGAGTACATCAGAAAGTCAAGGGGGTTGGAGTGAAATAAAGAATTTACTTCTGTCCACTGAGGCAGATCTACTCAGTTCCTTCCCAGATGTGTTGGTTGCCTTTTGTCTTGAGGGCAGTGCTGTGCACCATCAGACATGTCAGGTGAAGGAGTGATTTGTTTGCTCCCTGTCTTGATAAAATACCCTAGAAAAGGGTATGGGGTGACTGCTAATTGCAAAATTATTCCCACCCATCTGACTTCAGTTTCTATGGTAATTTTGGGCTTTGACTTTTGTAATGCAATTCCTGCTTCATGATGTTCACACTAAATGTGGAACGAGCTTATTTGGTTGCAAGATCTGAACACGTACTGATGTGTAGAGTAAAGTGCACAGTCCAGAATCTGGTAGATATAACAAAGCTGAGAGACCCTTCAAGAAGTAGGCTGTTGATAAATCCTACATCAATATCTCTGTCCTCAGGATATCTATGTGAATATTTAATTATTGAAATATTGTGGAAATTTAAAGTCATGTTTCAAATGAGTTTAGAATTTGCTTCCAGTCTTACTTATGGATCACTTACATAATAATCAGAACACCAGGTAATTTTCAGTTTTCTTTGTATGCTTTTCCCCTTGTTTTCAAGATCAGAAGATGCTCTTTATTGACCACTGTCATAGATGTAGAGAGTTTTGCTTTGATAACTCAAAAATCTGAAGTTTGGGGTGAGCAAAATGGGTGGTCACCATGTTACACACATGGCTGTGGAGCAGTGCCTGGGAGAGAAACTTTTATTCATAAATACAAAACCAATAAGATAATTTCACTACAGTGTCGTTGTGAGCTTGATTTGAACTGTTCAAGGGACTGACCTTTCAGTTCTTCTGGATATTTCTGTTTGGTTTCAGCTGTTGGACAAGTTAAAAGACCGCTGGATGCACACTGGCTTGTGGAGAAACCTGGAGCTGGTTAAGACTGTCATTGCAGAGCCTCAAGGAGGGGCAAAGAGTGACTTTGATGAACTGTTGAAAATATACTATGATGCAATAAAATATAAAGGAGAAAAAGGTATGTACTTTAGACTTCTTAAGCAGTTGATACTGCCTCTTCAAGTTTAAAAAAAGAAGGGATTCTAAAAGTGCTTAACAATTAGAATAAGCTATAGATAAACAGCTAAGTTAACCTCAGTTTCATAAATTCTTGTGATAAATGAGGAAGATTAACTTCTATTTATATTGCTGCATGAGGATGTAGGGAAGTACAGAATGATGCATAATCCTAATAGTGCTAGTCAAAAGGCAGTGAGGTGTGCAAGGACAAGCAATTTTCTGTTCTGCAGGACTTACAGTACATTGCAGAACTGACTTACTGGTTTGTATTACAGCTGCTATAGGCTTTCTCCTTTAAATACTTAAGTATTAGTATAGAGAGTAACAAATTATAGTATGTAAAAAAACCCCACCCAACAGCATTATTTTTGATTGAAAAATTTAAGATCTAATGTTTAAAATTTTGTTGTAGATACATATGGTTCTTGCAGTGCCACTGTACTATTTATTGCAAGATTATTTTGCTAGTTAATATTAAAAATAACAATTTTATGGGTCAAAGTGGAGTTAATCTCATCCCTCTAACAAAGAACCCTATATTTTTCTATCCACTCACCTTCCCCAGACTGATACCTGGTGTATTATGCTATATTATGTTTTGCCTTTTAAAGGATGTTGGTGAAACTTTATTCTGATGCTCAGTTTATGACTGGGAATGATTTGTATATTCTTCTCTGGCTTGTTCAAGATGGAGCACTCCTTATAGCTGTGTGCAGAGGAAAAGTTAGTGAAGGCTTGGACTTCTGTGATGAGAATGCCCGGGCAGTTGTAACCATAGGCATTCCATTTCCAAATGTGAAAGACCTTCAGGTAGGATATCAACACCTCATTGAAAGAGTTATACTTGATCTTTGTCATGTTTAAAACACCCAATATGCACAAATATTTTTTCTAAATGTTTCTCTTTGAACTCCCCTCAGTCCCATTTGAAGTCTTTGAGTGGCCTTCTACACAGGTAAGAGGAGGAACAGCTCAGCAGGGCTCGTGGGCTCATCTGTGTCATTCTACATGAATGTTTATCATGCTGAATGTGGTCTAACTTTTGGGGTGACCTTGCTAGTGAAGGCTGTTAAAATGCTAACTAGGAAAATACTATTTTAAAGAAGGCATTCAGATTGTTCAAAAGGTTACTTCAGAACGTAAGTGGGAAAGTGTAAAATAGTAATATCCTGAGGGAATGTATTGCACACACTAGATGATTGACTGTAGTGTATCAACTTTGTGATCCCTGCTGCCTGCTTTAGTGTAACTGTGTATGACACTTCCCTCTTAGTGGAATTGTAAACCTTCTCTGAGGTGATGCTGCTGTATTAGCTTGAAATTTTGAGGTATGAAATGATGACTTAACCTCCTCCTGGATACTGAAGACATTCCTTTTTTGATAATTCAAGCTTCATCTGACTTCAGGCAAAACCTTCTAAGTACTTTCTAAAGATAGTAATCCAAAGTGCCTCCAATTAAAGAAATTTGAGACTATTTGTATTTTTTTCAGTGTGTGGCAAAAGCAGCATCCTGTTACTTGCAATGTGTAATTACCCACATCAACGCTTCCTTCCTTTTGACTTCAGCAG